GTCTGATTTCTTTTTAATTATAGGAAATGCGTTTTCCTAAGGTACATGAACTTTTGGAATTGACTGTATAGCCAATACATCCTTAAAGAGTGCTTTTAAACTATTACACAAAATTCGATTACATATTAATTTTATTTCGTTAAATAAAATTGATGATTATATATAATATATGTTTAATCGGAGACAAGGGTCTAACAAACATTAGTTGATTTCGCGCATGCAATCTGACGGCCGGTTGCGAGTAGAGGCGACGTCAGCCCCTTAAAGCTCGATCTTTAAGCTCGATCATAAAGAGCGACGATAACAGGCCGGGTTCGAACACGACAGCGTCTCACTGTTACGGCGGTACGGATTCATAAATTTACGCTTCGCGGCTATTTTCTGAGTGTATGCGCTTTGTGTGTGGTCCCGATAACCTCTCCGCCGATCCCAGGCCGCTTCTTCTTCTTCCTCTTCTTCTTCCCTCTATATTATTAACATCGTGAACTGCGCCATGTCCCGTACGCCTTTCGCCACGATAACATCTCGATTATCGTTGAAAACGATTCGCGAGCGACCCGCGTCGCGAAAAGAAGACGCGTCCCTCTTTTTTTTTCGAATGCGCAAAATTATCGCTGCTTCTTCTTCACGTCCGAAGCTTACGAAAAGAAGAACAGCAAGAGTAGTGATACCGCGAGTTAGACAATCGGCAACGCGCGTTTTCTTATCTACTGATGAAACGATGCTAGATAAGCAACGGATTCAGATGGTGATATTCGTATACGGTATTCCAACTCGGTGTTGTAATCCAAATGTACATAAATTGGAAACTGACAGGGCGTGCAGTAACTTTGCACACCTTCCTCAGTTTACACATTTTATTGTATGACTTAAGTCAATCTGTTTGTATTCTTAATTCAATTTGTCCCTCGCCTATCGTACTGACCCAAGAGTGAGATATCAAGAAAAAACAAGATACTAAAATATAACTGATAGAGAAGATTGCGAAGATTTCAAATAAAGAAATTAAATTCGTGTAAATTTAATTGTAAAATAAGATTCTTAAGACCAGCTTTCGTATATCATTAAGTAAACAGCTTTCTAACACGATTGTGTTAAATTATCAAGAAACGGGCATGGGTTAGAATTAATGACTTAGTTCAAGACTGTTTTACGGGTGGTACGAACAAAATTCAAAGAAGCTCACCGGCGTGTAGAAGGGTGCCTGTTCAGCTCCGAGGCTCGGGAAATACATGCCCTCGGAGGCGGCGGCAGCGGCGGCTGCCGCGGCGTACGGCGCGCTGTACATCGAGAGGGCAGCCGTCGGTAGCGCGCCGAGTCGTTGGTAACCGCCGAGGAGCTCGTACTGGCAGGAGCAGACCGTCTGGCCCGTGAGCGGATCCGTGAAGATCGGTCTTCCGGTATCGCAACACCGTCCGGTCGGCGTCGGGCCGCCAGTTGTAGGCGGTGGGTGACCCTGAGACGGGCTTACCGACGTCGTCGGGCTACCCGGCGGCCTGACCACTGCGCTAGTCACCGCCATCCTTGCGTTCGACAAACCGGCTAAGGGATGATTGACAGTGGTGGTGCCCGCTGCTGCGCTGACCAGCGACGAACCGCCCGCGCTTAGGATCGAACCGGACACCGGCGAGGCCGAAGACGACGTCAGCGACGAGCTCACTGTCACAGGACACTGCAACAAAGAATTCCATACAAAATTGTTAAGGGCAAGTGAATAAAACGTTGCAATCGATCTATGTATATTATGTTTTATGCTTATTCTCTCTAATCAATAATACGTGTGTTACATAAATATTAAATTAAGGATTTCAATTAATTTGATGTTACTGTGCTTGGGTGAACAGTCATTGTGAGTCTCAGGTATTTAATAGAAAAGTGTAATGCTTTGTAAAGTGAATATCTTTAGATTATAAAAGTTAATTGATCAACCTCTATTGCAATTGAAAGGCAGATGAATGCGTTCATGATTAACATCTATTTGTACCAGCAGCGCGGGAATGTTTCTGCTGCGAGGAATTCAAAGGGAAGAAGGATAATTCGCGTATGTTCACGAGAGCATGATCTTATATGCGTTTCATGGCACAAAATCGTTTTTGAGAAGCTTTGGACAACGTGGCATGGTGTAGCGCACGTTACGCCGACGCTCTGTTTGCTTGAAAATTCCTGGCGACCGCTTCTCGGCAAACAACCCCGAGAGTAGTACGTTTATGCTACGGTGACTCTTCACCCACTCGTTTTCCTTTCCTCGTGGATACAGCTTTCCTCTTTACAATTTTTCGTTACAAGCTGCTGCACCTCCTCCCGATTTTTTATTATTAACAACCCGGAAGGAAAAACAGTTACGCGTGCAATAATTAATAATTAATGTAAGGAATTCGAATAGGAATAGATGACCCCAAGTTGTGACCAAGAATAGACTGTAATAGAATTATGACTATGGATTTTATATACATTGTTTAATTCCAATTCCAAAGAAATTACGATGGCAATGATGGTTCACTAGGTTAACGAATTTAAATGAAAGTGAGGAATTAAACAGTGAATAGTTAAATAGGCTATTAGATAACAAAATCGAGAAACTCATAGTAGCTGTCGACGCGTTCGCGCTAGTAGACATTTGTACGACACAGGGTCGCGCGTGTTTTACTCTTATGGTTGTACGCGACAGGGTACACACATGGGTGACCATATTAACATAGTCAAAGTTTGCACAGTGGAAGCTACCGGTCGAAGATTCGCTGACAACGCAGTGGTAGCGACAACGCAGTTGAACATTTTAATCCGCTCGGGACGCGAATCAGGGCAAGCAGCTTCCGATTTGGCCGTGGATTTGCAAAACCGAGTCGAGTTTTTTTTCAGCGTGTCGTTAACTCGTTAAGAGGACGGATTAATGATCGCCGATCGCAGCGAAATTGGTCAAACGTGTTGTGTAACACGGACCACGCCGTGGACGATACATATCATATTTTATTACTGGTTCAGTTTACCGCTTCGCGAGACGGACTTGTAACAGATAGGAGAATGCGGTCTGTGTTGGAAATATTACAAATCATTGAAATTGTAGCTAGCTGTACAAGCGAATCGTACATTATACATGTATCAAATCTGTTGAATTACATTCAACAGATCGTTATCTAAACACGTTAATAGATGATCGATATAACGTTTCTGCATTAATTCAACCAACTTTCTCTAATCAACTGTATTACAAATACACAGCAACATTGTACATATTTAATATATACGGTTGTACCTTGTTCATTATATATTTCTTATCATATTTATTAGATAGTATTTCATACGATATGATTTCTTGGTATTTAAGTGATAAAAATGAGTAAAGTGGTACGCTAGCACATTTTATAACTAACACAGCCTATTTCTAGCCCGATGTATCTTAGCAACTTCCGTTGAACGCACACCTGCCGATGCGATTGTTTCCGACTTACGAAACAATAAAAGCCTTTGGTGGCACGTTCGACGCCGATAATCGGGCAGACAAAACGGGAGAGGAAAGCAGCTGCTCGAACGAATCAGCCAGAGGGACCGCAACGCTACCACCCAGGACTTTACGGACGTACGGCGTGAAAAGGCAGAGGAGCCGTAGACGCAACTGGCACCTACGGCCAGCATCCTCCCCTTTCTTTGGAAGGCGAACCGAAAATCAGGGCCGTGAATAATATCAGGGGGGTCCTCATTAATTCCATATCAAACAGCACGGCTAAATAGATTAGTGGGTTGAGTGGGTTTTGCGCGGCGGAACCTAAACAAACCCCATTCCGTGGATGATCCCCCGGTTCGTCTACATCCATCCATCCAACCTCGTTTCGATGGCCCCGAACATATTGTCGAAAGGCAGAGCGAGGTTGCGTGGCGTGTGCATTGTGTTTCCCGCGGGGGAAAAACGTGACCCAGCCGCGCATTATGGCATCGAGGGCCGCGTTAATGCGTGTTTCGCTTCCAACTGGCTGCCGGGATAACTCTACGATCGTAGCACAAAATTCAGTTCGGCTGGTGTGATCACCGAGAAGGAGGACGATCGACGCGTTCCGAGGCCGAATTTTCGCTCTCTTTTCATGGTACCGTTTCGAACCACGATTTTGGTAATACGCGCGCGCGCGCGCGCGCATTGGGATTGTAAGCTAGACGGGCTTACACCGGTTGATATTTTAATCGCGGCTGCTGATGATCGATCGACACGTTGTTCTGCGATTCACTCGCTGCTGCGTGTCAACTGTTCCGACTAAACTGTGGTACAATGATTTAGAAAAGAATCCCTGTTTTGTAAGATTTTACAGGAGAGTTTAAGGGATGGGGGAAACGTTTTGTTAAAAATTTATGTTACTCCAAACGTGGAGGTACCGCGTGACCCGAGGAAACCCTGAGGGTTGCAAACGGGGTGGAGAGGCGACCGGTCGGAGAGGTAACGGGCAGAAATATAATGGTGAGACATCGCGGCGGGTTCTCACCGGGAATCGTAAGAATCCGCGAGAAAATCGGAGGACGGTAGGAATGCGCTTCGGGGGCCCTCGGGATCGGGCCTCGGGGTTAAACGACGAAGCGTGTTGGCGAGTGTCCCGGGGACCGCACGGGCCATAATTCAGTCCTAGGGGCCGAGAACGGAGAGAGAAGAAGGAGAGCCAGCAGCGGTCGCCAGAGATCCCTGAGTTACTCCACGCGATCGCATCGACCAGAGAGAAAGAGAGTAGCCCTCTCGCAATCGTGTAACCAACTATATCACATACACACACACCCTCCTTTCCCTCGGTACGGACACCTCGTGGCCTCTCATCGCCTTTAAAGTAGCGTTCAAGGTAGCCACGTCGCGCGTCGTGAACTCGTCGACTGTTGCTGTTACCACGAAGCCCGATAATTATTCGTGCGCCGAGGGATCGATGTATCGAGGCATTAGAATAGCTAGTTGGTCGTTAGCCCGCGCTAATTGCCAAGATTTCTCTTCGGGGCGCACGCAGAAACAGGAGCTGCGTACGCCACAAATAGGATTGTACAATCGAATCTAAACAATATGTAATACTAACACTTGTTGGAATGTAATAAAAGTATATTAACATCCACGATTTTCAGTTGAATATGACATTTTGATAACAGAACAAAGACTGAAGATAAACTGAATGTTAGATATAAGTACAACGCTCAAGGCTTACAACCTGCCATCATAAAGGGAGTCAATCTTCATAACGCGTAATCAGATACCGTCGGAAATTAGCGGAATCGTGAAGTCGCACGAACACGAGGCAAAACTGAGGAGCCGGTGACACCTCGTGTTTCGCAGAAAATTCTCGACGATTCCGCTCAGGCATTGCCTGCATCCTCTAAGCTCGGCATACCTGTGTCGGCGTAGCCCACGAAAAACCGATACGCGAGGACCGCGTAAAGCCTCCTCTCGGATAGATGATCGATGGACGTCCGATCCCGGGTACGGAAAAAAACTGGAAGTCCTCGGATGGAAACGGTCGTGGAACGAATGCTCGTGCGCTCGATCAGCCTAGCAAACCAGTCACTTGTCTCTCTTTCTTTCTCACTCTCTCTCTCTCTCTGTTCGTTTACCGGTACCTGGCGCACGAGAGAGGAGGAGATCGCAACCCCCGGGTTGTACACGCGTTTTATGACGCGATTTATATGCACAATGTAACAGTCGCGTCGACGTGGGAACACGTAACGTCGCGATCCCGTGTCCGTTCCTTTCTTCTACTCGCTGCGACAAGAACTAAACTGTGGTGTCCGTACCCTTCCCTTCCTTTCCCTCGCCGCGGTCCGCGAGTCGAGATCATCGGGGGCCCAGGTTCCCCGAGACACCAAAGGCACGCGATCGCGACGGCGGATTGACCAATGGCTTTTTTTCGAGGTAGCTCGCGCTCGTTCGAATTTATTGCGTATCCATATTCAGGAGTAACGCGTTCGGTTTTAACGCGTTCATTGTCGCTTCCCGCGAATGCGAGAGGGGGGCGAGAGTTTGAATCCGTGGAAACAGGAAAAGACTGAAGGGAAGAGGGGGAGGCTGAAGGAGGGAGGGAAGAGAAGATGGTACGCGTTCCTCGCGTGAGCGATTCATCGATCCTTCTTGCGAAAAACGTAACGCGTCGTCGCGACTCGATGCGGTGCGGTGGTGACCAAACGGTACGGTGCTGCGTGTGCGCAGAAAAAAATTTTAGACCACGTTGCGTGTCTCAGGGTTTAGGAAATCGCTGCGCAATAACGACGATCGTCGGTGGAAAAAGCCCAGGGCCATCGTGAATACGAGTATAGAAAGAATCAAATGGCGAGAATGCGAGCAACGCGGAGCTGCACAGCTCGGAGGAGCAACCGACCGACGACTGGCAAACGGCAGAGTTTCCACGATTTATAGATCCCGATGGAGAGAATCGGTTATCCTGTGGACACAGATGCGCCGCTGTTTGCACACGGAGCATTTGTCACGCGTGTCCTGGCGAGAGAAAAGGGACCGGTCGAGAAGATGATGCCCTCTTTGCAACGAGGCCCAGCCGAGTCAATATTGACTCCTGGCCAGATTGATGGACCTACCTCGCGTGTGTGTTTAGGCCTCACGGCACTCACTTATGTTCCCACCCTGTTCTGTTCTGTTCTCGTTAGTGCCGTGTTTAGTTCGCCCCTTGGCTTTAGCTCTCGTTCCGGGAACACCGCGAAAGATAC